ACTACCCATCCAGATTTGGAATTAAGGGTTTAATCGATAGACCAGGTTGTAGGAAACTCTCCCGCACAAGCGGCTGGTCCTTAACTTGCCTAGGGGAAGAGCTACAGACTTAGGAAAAGTCACTTTTTCGATTTTTTTGCCTATTTTTTCGGAAATTATCGATTTCCTCAAAAACTACCCATCCAGATTTGGAATTAAGGGTTTAATCGATAGACCAGGTTGTAGGAAACTCCCCCGCACAAGAGGCTGGTCCTTAACTTGCCTAGGGGAAGAGCTATAGACTTAGGAAAAGTCACTTTTTTGGCCTTTTTCAAATCTTTCCGATTTCCTCAAAAACTACCCGTCCAGATTTGGGATTAAGGGTTTAATCGATAGACCAGGTTGTAGGAACCCCCCCCCCCTACACAAAAGGCTCGTCCCTAATTTGTCTAGGGGAAGAGCTATACACTTAGGAATAGTCAATTTTTCGGTTTTTAGGCCATTTTTTCAAACTTTTTCGATTTCTTCAAAAACTACCCATCCAGATTTGGAATTAAGGGTTTAATCGATAGACCAGGTTGTAGGAAACTCCCCCGCTCAAGCGGCTGGTCCTTAACTTGCCTAGGGGAAGAGCTACAGACTTAGGAAAAGTCACTTTTTTGATTTTTTTGCCTATTTTTTCGGAAATTATCGATTTCCTCAAAAACTACCCATCCAGATTTGGAATTAAGGGTTTAATCGATAGACCAGGTTGTAGGAAACTCCCCCGCACAAGCGGCTGGTCCTTAACTTGCCTAGGGGAAGAGCTATAGACTTAGGAAAAGTCACTTTTTTGACTTTTTTGGCCTTTTTCAAATCTTTCCGATTTCCTCAAAAACTACCCGTCCAGATTTGGGATTAAGGGTTTAACCGATAGACCAGGTTGTAGGAACCCCCCATGCACAAGCGGCTGGTCCCTAATTTGCTTAGGGGAAGAGCTATAGACTTAGGAAAAGTCACTTTTTTGATTTTTTTGCCTGTTTTTTCGGAAATTATCGATTTCCTCAAAAACTACCCATCCAGATTTGGAATTAAGGGTTTAATCGATAGACCAGGTTGTAGGAAACTCCCATGCACAAGCGGCTGGTCCCTAATTTGCTAAGAGAAGAGCTATAGACTTAGGAAAAGTCACTTTTTTTGATTTTTTTGCCTATTTTTTCGGAAATTATCGATTTCCTCAAAAACTACCCATCCAGATTTGGAATTAAGGGTTTAATCGATAGACCAGGTTGTAGGAAACTCCCCCGCACAAGCGGCTGGTCCTTAACTTGCCTAGGGGAAGAGCTACAGACTTAGGAAAAGTCACTTTTTTGATTTTTTTGCCTATTTTTTCGGAAATTATCGATTTCCTCAAAAACTACCCATCCAGATTTGGAATTAAGGGTTTAATCGATAGACCAGGTTGTAGGAAACTCCCCCGCACAAGCGGCTGGTCCTTAACTTGCCTAGGGGAAGAGCTATAGACTTAGGAAAAGTCACTTTTTTGACTTTTTTGGCCTTTTTCAAATCATTCCGATTTCCTCAAAAACTACCCGTCCAGATTTGGGATTAAGGGTTTAATCGATAGACCAGGTTGTAGGAACCCCCCCTACACAAACGGCTCGTCCCTAATTTGTCTAGGGGAAGAGCTATACACTTAGGAATAGTCAATTTTTCGGTTTTTAGGCCATTTTTTCAAACTTTTTCGATTTCTTCAAAAACTACCCATCCAGATTTGGGATTAAGGGTTTAATCGATAGACCAGGTTGTAGGAAACTCCCCTGCCCAAGCGGCTGGTCCCTAATTTGTCTCGGGGAAGAGCTGTAAATTTAGGAAAAGTTTTTTGAAAAGTTTTTTGGCATTGGAACAAAGATTCAATATACTTATTGTGTGTATTTTTTAGACAATGGAATCCGCTATGCTTACGTTTTCTCGCTTAAGCTTCTCTTTCACTTTTTTGCGTAGGAAGGGCGCTATCGACTTGAGAAACCTGAAATTTTAAAACAATTTTAAAATTATCAATATTAAAATAATCAAACAGGTCTCTCCAGCTTTCAGCTGGGCCCCTAGTTTAACATCTCCGGTTCTGTACAATTGTTTTTTCTTCTTTTCTTGTTTTTTGTTAACTCTTCCTATAAGTTTTTTCGGTTTGCACCTAATCTGCTTAGGTGCATCATTTTGTATCGTTAGATAAGCGAAACAAGTTTACTATGCGTGTTTTTAGGGGTAATTAGATAATTTTGTAAGCTTCAAAGTTTTTTTTTATATCGCACGACCTAAAAATTTTTTCAACTCAGCGGCTTTCGTCACAATTTTTGTCAGCTAGTTTGTCATGCTATATCTGTGTCCTATTGCAAATGATGCGAAGCTCTTCTTTGCCTCTGTGCATGTTTTTCACGCACAAATTTGATATTCAGCGGTTTCATTTGATTTCCGTTTAAGTTCAAAACACCGCTGCTGAATTGCAAAAGTCTAAGATCACGAAAAACGCGATCGATTTTTAATATCGGAAGTAGATTTTTTTTGGATTTTGCAGCAAAACAAAAACTTAACTTATTGGACTTTTTTTTCTCAAATTGGTTTAATTTTATTAAGAGTAATGAACGTTGTGAAGACTTTTAAAGGTCTTGCTGATTTTTTTTTGTTTTTTTTTCAGGAAAAAATCTTTACACAAGCGAAGCGAATTGTATTATTACGAACCTACGTAACCCACCTAAGTCGAAAATAAAAGTGCTCATTTGTGGCACTTTTGGTATATTTCAATTTCATCATATTTAAGCGTATTTAAGCATTGGTAATTTAATAGCATATAGTGCTGGTTTATTTTTGACTAGTGTTAGGTCCTGTTTGAAAACAACAGGTGTTATGAAAATGTATGTTGACTAGTGTTAGGTCCTGTTTGAAAATAACAGGTGTTATGAAAATGTATGGGATTTAATAACTTTTGTTTTTTTTTGCGATGCTATTTTCAAAAACTACTGAACAAATAATCAAAACAATGGTGTTATTGGAAAAACTGGTTGCGATTCAATGTGCCTGCATGTTTTGCTAGTCTCTTTTCAGCTTAAACCACGTTCTACGCCTTTCGAAAGTTTCAGTAGGGGGATTTTTGACTGATTTGATTTTGAATTTGTTCATTTTCTCAAATAATAAAAGCATATATCTGAGATGAACGTTTAAACAAAAGAAATAATCATTGGGATCTCTCCTTCTCAAGCGGCTATTCCCTAAATTCGGAAGAAAAAAGTTATGGCCTCAATCATTTTCTCGAAAACTACTCTGCCAAATCGGAGAATAAGAGTTCAGCCAGAAGAAAAACTTGGTATGCGAATCTTCCCTACATCAGCGGCTATGCCCTGCGTTTTCAAAAAATATGGCCTTAGAAAATGTACAATTTTTGGAAACTTCTTTCTTTTTCTTCAGAAAATAACCTGCTGATTCTGAGGTTGATAATTAATTCAAACTAACATCGTGCTTCGTAATCTGTTTCTCCTTATTTGTTTTGTAGAAAAGCCGATATGGACATCGGAAAAATCCATTTTTTGAAAATTTAACCGTTTTCTTAAAGAAATTTCATCACTGTTCTCGAAAGCTACTAGCTAAAGCCGATATTAAGGATTCAATCTATAAATCAGGGTATGGAAACCTTTCCGGCATACGAGACTATTCCCATGCTTTAATAGAGAAAATTTTGTGAATTTTGGAAAAGCCAACTTTTTCGAGTTTTGATCGTTTTTTGGAATCTTTTTCAGTTTTTTTTTTCGAAAACTACCCAGCCAAATCTGAGATAAAGACTTCAGTTGAAAGATCGATTAGTAGTTTCTTATTTAAATATGCAGCTAATCCACTACTTAACCAGAAAAATTTCTAGGGTTTTGCGTTAAGTCCATTTTTGAATCTTGCAAAATTACGCATTTTGGTATCAGTACAAAATTTGATCAAAATATTAAAACATGTAAATCTAGCATAAGCTGGGCAACTAGTTTTTCCTTCAAGCGTCCGTGGCGCGATTGCGAGGAAGTGGAAATCCAAATCAACCGGAAGGAGATGCAAATCCGGAACATTGAAATAGTTAGTTGTTGTGGCCGAGTTTTTCCTACATCGCATTGGCAATTTGATAGAAACTGCAGCTGCTTTATTGATGGCTGGTGTTAGTAAAATTGCAAGCGGTCATGAAGCAGATGTGAGAATGTGTTACTCCCAAGCCTTGCAAAAAAGTTTCTCAAGGTGTCTTTTTAACCTTTTCCTTATTTCACTTTGTTTTGCCTGTTTAGAGACCTTTTTTTTGCATTTTCCTCGCTTGTGTTTGCGAAGCGCAGCTTCGCCTCTTTGTAAAATATCGATGCACTTAGGTATAATGAACTTTTTGATTTCAATTGAAATTCATCTGCTGATAGTGACGTAAATAGCCCTCTCCAAATACGAACGTGCAAATGGCGCGAAAATTCTTGAACGATTTCTAGTTTCGAAAGTGGAATTTAATTTATAGATTTGGAGAGGAATAAAAACTTTAACCAATGAACCAGTGTTCTTTACTTGGGTTCATGTTATCAAAAAAGCGCCAACCATAAATTGTTCTCAAAATTTAAGGAGCTTAAAGGGCATCCTTTTTTTTCTTTGAAATTCGAAAGATTTTTTCAAACTCAGTGTTATTTTTACTTGCGTTTATTACTCTTTTCCACTCTTCGATTGGCTATATTCAAAAAGTGTCAATCATAAATTGTTCTAGAAATTCAAAGAGCTTTCGGGTCATCTGTTTTTTTTTGGAACTTCGAAGGTTGATTGTTCTTCAAACAAGTCAGTTTTTTTGTTTTCTTGAGTTCATTGAGTATTTTTCCAATTATCTGTTGATTATGTTTCTGAATGTTTTTAAAACGCTGTCAATCAAAAACAAATAAATTATACCACTTTAAAAATTCATATGGAATGTATGGATATCTTATCCCAATCTCGTAATGACTACAATTTGGCTACATTACTTCACTTCCATTTTCTGTGTTTTAAAAGCAAATTGCAACCCAATTCGAATGCTGCCGTGGTAGCTCAGGGATTCACAGTCTCGGAAGGACTGGAATTGAATTCGGCCTCGTGTCTCAATGAGTCAATGACGGAGTGTGTTGCCTCGTTGTCCAATCCGAATGGAGAAGAGGACGAGAGGACATCAGTCATCTCAGATTCAGACAGCCATTTTCTACTCAATAGTCTCATTGTGAAGAGTTCGCCAACTCATTATAGTTGTGCTGCGTGCCTTAAACGCTTCCAAGATTTAGCAATTCTCAGGTAGACAGTGGCGGATTTAGGGGGGCATTCAGGGATTCGACCCCTGTCGACCCAAAGGGTCCCCTTTGTACTATTTTGAGATGTACTAATTTTGAGGGGAGCGCGCGCCGAAAAAACGCAATTTTTCGGTCAAAATTTTCAAAAAGTGCCCAAAAACCCCTTTTTTGGCCTGTTTTCTCAAAAAGTTGCCAGCGGCGTTGAAACTTTTGTCAATCTAGGGTCTTTATAGTGGTTTGGGAGAGCTCAGAAAATCAATTTGGTCGACCTAAAAAAAAAGGCCGAGAAAAAATTTCAATTTCTTTTCGAAAATCAGCCCCCCTCGAGAAATTCCTAGATCCGCGCATGCAGGTAGATGCATTATTTTGTAAAATTTTCAATATGCAAAAAAATACTTTTAAGAGTTATGAACGCGGTGAATACTCTTTTATAGGTAGCGATAATTTTTTTCAGGAAGTCTTAAATTTGTTTAGGCTCAAATTTATTTTTACGTGGTTTTTTGATTTTTTTCAATTTCAGTTTCTTTCCTTTGTTGAAAGGAAGGCATACTCCACTATCGGACAGCAAAAGTGTCAAGGTCACGAGAAGCGTGATCAACTTCTAGTTTCGAAAGTGGAATTAAGTTTTCAGATTTCTCAGCGAAATAAAATTTTACTAATTGTTCCAGTTTTCTCAAATTCGTTTAATCTTTTTCACAAATTTCCCATCAAAAATTATTCTAGAAGTTTAAAAGGCTTTAAAGGCATCTATTTTTTTCTTTGACATTCGAAACTTTTTTTGTTTTCTTTTGTGTTCATGACTATTTTCTAACTGTCTGTTGGCTATGTTTACGCTTAGCAAGCGTTATTTAACTGGAATATAGACTTTTTGTTCGGGTTAAAAACTTGAACAGAATCACTTGTATCTTGGTTCATAATGAATTCAAACTTCATTGCGTCTCCGGCACACAGCCTGTAGGTAACGAATATGCGTGGGAATGCAAAGGTCTTGGGTTCTAATCTGACCAGGACCTTTTTTTTAAAACGGTTAATATTCTGTTTCCATTAAATTGATTCACTCTTACAATATGTAGTTTTACTTACCGTGACTTCGTATTTCCTTCTTCGTTTTTTGTTCTGCTGAAAAAATTCCACTGTCTACAACCCCGCTAAAAAAACGCTCAAATCTGAGTTTTTGGTTTCACTGCATATGCGGCTATGCCCACCTTTTTTACACCTAAAGGTATGGCCCTCGGAATAGTCAAATTTGTGACCTTTTTTGAATCTTTTTGGTTTTTTCTCGGAAACTAGCCTCTCAATTATGTTATTAAGGCTTCAATGGAGATAACGGGCAGTGGGAAGCTCCCCTGCATTAGCGGCCACCCACAAATTTTTTTTACAAAAAACTTATTGCTCTCGGAAGTTTCGATTTTTTGACCGCTTTTTTAAAATTTTTGTCTCGAAAACTACTCTCCCAAATCTGACATTTTGGGTTCAATTGAAATTACAGGTTGAATGAATTCCGCTGGCATAAGAGGCTACGCCACATTTTTCGACACAAAAAGCTATATTTTGGGAAATGTCAAATTTTGATTTGTTGACCGTTTTTTATACATTTCTTGCTAACTATCGTGCCAATCCTGATATCATAGGTTTAGTCGAAACAACAATTTGTTGAAAGCTTACGTTTATAATCGGTTATGCCCAGTTTGTGTAAGAAAAAAGTTATGGCCTTCAAACAAGTCAAAGTTTTGATACTTGACACTTTTTTAGAAACTTTTCGAATTTACGCGAAAACTACCGTGCCAATTCTCACGTATTGAGTCGAGGAACCCGGTTTTGAGAACCTTCTCTGCTTAAGCGGCCAATGCCTGCTTTTTGCAGAAAAACATTATGGTTTTTGGAGAGTCTTTTGATCGTTTTCTTGACCTTTTGACCGTCAAATCAATCTGAGATGAAAAGTTCATGTGAAAAAAACCGTTGCGATAATTGTTCCTGAAGATTGGGCTTCCGAATATTTTATAAAGAAGAAGAGAAATGTTATCTACTTTGGAAAACTGATTATCTCAAAATTTTATGCTCTTCTTATTTATTTAAGTAGAGAAACATTTTTTGTGACGCATCGGTATAGCAATTTCATTCAATATCAAGCACGTACCTCCAGCTTTAGCTTTCCCCTAGTTGTTGTTTATCGAGACATACGAAAATTTGGTTCACTTGGATTTTTTTCACCATTTAAAAATTTTTTTCGACTTCTGTATTTTAAAGTGTGTTGTATTGCAAAAGGTGCGAAGCTCTGATGCGCCTCTGTGTTAATAGATACAAATATAGATTCAACACGTTTTGGATCATTGCAATACAATTGTTTCTTGAATCTAAAGCATAATGATGTTTAAGGAAACATATTACAAACAAACATTTGGGTGGGTCAAATATACGAGCAGACACTGATGATCAAAGACCAACTACCTCTTCCTACTCCAATGTAGTCTATCTCGACAACAGCGTCGCCAGCTTTCAGCAATCGCAACTGCGCACTACCTCCAGTTTAATTTTTGACGGCTCATCGGTACTTAGCAGCACAGCGCCTCGCGCTGAAGCTATACCCACTCAGTATCCGCCATCCAGTGAACCAGTGGGATCAAGCTTATGCGATGGTAGCCATGCGGGCAATGGATTAAGTAGTGGCGTTGTTAGCTGGTCCAATGTAGATGCAGCTCAGTTTAGTTTACAGTTTGATGACAATAATCAGCTTTACTTGCAAGGCGATGAGGCAGGTTTGCGAGAAGTGATTACAACAGATACTGATTTCATGGAAGTTGGCCAGGAGGTAGTTTTGAGTAGTGATTCATACAATGAGGGACTCCATGCTAGTTCCTCGCCGCTCGTAAACACTGAGCAGTTTAACCACTCTGCTACAACTGGAAGTTTCCTTCCGCAGACCTACTCTCAAAGAGATGACTCAATGCACATGCTAACAGATGGTCAAGCATCACTGGCAGCGTCTCGCAAAACCAAGTAAATATTTCTTAGCTTAGTACAAACTCAGGTTTTTTGATGTTCTTTGAACTGAGAGAACAGGAAGGCTTATATTCAAGCAAAAATAACGGGAAGGAAGCATTTAATTGATATAGCCGTTGCTTAACTCGGCTGCTTTATTTCAGAAGATACCAGTGCCCTGACTGTGGCGAGGCCTTCAAGAAGTTCGTACGTCTGCAGTCTCATATTCAGATCAAGCACCCTCACATGTTTGCAGCATTTGAGGAAAGCACAGCTCGAATTCTGAATGAGGGTCAGTCTGAAAGTGTGCTCCAGGGGGGAACTTCAGGAGTGGATAGCCTGGAACCTCTCTCTGATGCCATAATTGACGAGAACGGGCTGCATGCTGGGGAGTTTTATCGTAAGAATTCGATTACTTTTATTTCCTTGTAATATACTTGATATCTAAACTTGTAATATACTTGATGGTGCTAGGTCAGTAAAACGCTGTATCAGCAACCCGAAAACGGGCAGACCCGATCAGTGATTCCAAAATGAAATAACCTGGTTAGTAAACCGAAAATTGTGAAAAAGGTGTCCAGTAAACCGAAAATGAACTTCTCAAATTAACAGCGTTTTCAAAGTAACGTTTTTTATTAGTTAAAATTGCCAGGAATGATGCGCAACATGTAAATTAGGTAACATAGCTAATGAATTGCAGTCAATCTATGGAAGGTTTTTCAATTTGGTTCTTTGATGCGTTTAATCTAAGCTGAGTTAATACTTAATATGGCGCAGCTGGTTACGTAAATGATAAGTAATTGTTTCATAATTGGTTTTACTGAAATGGTAGTTTACTGATACATCGATTTATTGCACGCACACCATCTTGGTATTGTAACATCTTTGAAATGCAGTGCTTCATTTCTTTCCGAATTTTACCCTTGCTTTTATACAGAGCGAAAAGTTCCGTTTTAGTATCTCTCTTACTCCTGCAAGGGAATTATTGAAAGGCCATCTATTTTTTTCTTGTAAATTCGAAAATTGAGATTTTTTTTAAGTTTTTTGCGTTCATTGACTCTTTTCAAGCGGTCTGTTGGCTATGTGTTGTTTCGAAACTCCACTGGTTCTTCTCAAAAAATAATGGAAACTTTTATTTAAGGAATTCAGGCTAGGGTTAATAAGTTATCGTTGTGCAAATTGCCATTTTTGTGAATTTTTGTTTCTCAATTGATTAAAAATAGTGTGTATTATTTTTAGTGATAGTATTGATTTAATTTCAGAAATGGAAGTGATATCAAGTGGTCAGTTGGGACAGACTGTGTTGAAGGGGCAGGGTGGGATGGGGGAGGGACTGTCTATGAACAGTTCAGGGAGGCAGATAGGCGTAGGCGTGGGCATGGGACCATCGAGGAAGGACGTGAATAACTTCGCAGTGTCAAGTGAAAGACCCTATCTGTGCCAGGAGTGTGGTAAGGCATACAAGATGAGGTCGCACTTGTCGCAGCATATCCGCTACCACACTGGCGAGAAGCCGTTCAAGTGCGACATTTGTGGCCAGAACTTCCACCTGTCGGGAGACAGAAACAGGCACGTGATCAAAATGCACTCCGACTACAGACCGCACAAATGTCTCTACTGTCCAAAGGTAACAGCTACTGTTAAAAATAATTTCTACTTGTATAAACTGACCAGTCATGTTGTTTTTTGGGAAGGGCGACAAGTCATAACAGGCGACAATTCGCAACAGGCGACAATTCGTAACAAGCGACAAATCGTAACAAGCGACAATCGTAACAAGGCATCGGCAAATAGAATACGCTTGCTCCGCTGCGCTTACATCCGGCACGAGAGGAATACTGCGCGTGAATCAGTCAGTGTTCACCGCTTAATGTACTGTTACGAATTGTCGCTTGTTACGAATTGTCGCCTCACGTGTTTTTTTGCTAATATACATGTTTACGGTTGTCTTGAAAACCTCTTTAAGTTCTCTTGTTTATTTTCAGTCGTAAGCCTTATCGTTAAGCATCACCGAAAGATGGGATGAAAGTTGAAAGAAGCAATGGCTTAAGTTTTGCCAACTTTATGGAGCTGCGGTTTCGTATTGCCATTACGGTATCTTAATCGATCAACGTAGCTTCAATACCGTAACTGTTACTCTAATCTTAATATGAGTGTCGTTCGACAGTTCCGATAATTTTTTGTCAAAGTTTGAATGAACTTCATTGTATAGAAAATATTTCAGGGATTCGTGGATCGCTATGCCTTGAACAACCACATGAAGTTTCACATGGCACAACATGCTCACAAGTGCGAATATTGCGAAGAGAAATTTCCCAGTAAATCACTCATGAAGCAGCACAGAGTATCCCATTTCTTTTGAGCCGAGGAATGTTCAACTGAGCTAACTCAAATTTAAATTAAACATTTGAGTTTATCTGCCAAATGTTTCCATATGTTTATTTGTCACCTTAGAAATAATTTTGTAATCATTTAATTGGTTTAAAAAGTAAATTAGTTAAAAGAAAATCTTTGTTGCTGAGTTTTTGCATTGTTTTGTAGCTCCCACAGCCACTGGAATATAAATAAGGTGCCCTCGAAGGTGCCCTGAGTCATTGTTTTGAAGCTACTAGCTGTTTGTTGTCCCATTGTGCGAAAATGGTGCGAAATTATTGTTGAGACTAATGCCGACAATGATGCTACTTCGAAAGCCAGTGTTTACTCAAGAGAGCTTTGTGTTATACCACGAGACTAATTTTTCCAATCCGCTTCGCGTTTAATAATGTTCATTTTATTAAGTAAAAAATTTTAGATTACCTGGTTCTAAAGCTTTATATTTCTGTGAAATTGCTTAAAAATTAACGAAAGGTTTGAGTTGTTTATAAGAGTAATGAACGTAATTTGAGTAATTATTTCAAACTAAATAATTCCTTACTTAAGCAGAGAAACAAGGGTTTACCTTAAAATTCATTTTTGAAAATTACGCATTTCCGTATCAGTACAAAATATGATCAAAATATTAAAACATGTGAATCTAGCATAAGCTGGGCAACTAGTTTTTCCTCCAAGCGTCCGTGGTGCGATTGCAAGGAAGTGGAAATCCTAATCAACCGGTAGGAGATGCAAATCCGGAATATTGAAATAGTTAGTTGTTGTGGTCGAGTTCCTGCATCGCATTGGCAATTTGATAGAAACTGCAGCTGCTTTATTGGTGGCTAGTGTTGGTAAAATTGCAAGCGATCTTGAAGCAGATGTGAGAATGTGTTACTCCCAAGCCTTGCAAAAAAAGTTTTTCAAGGTGTTTTTTTTAACTTTTTCCTTATTTCACTTTGTTTTGCCTGTTTAGAGATCTCTTTTTTTTGCATTTTCCTCGCTTGTGTTAGCGAAGCGCAGCTTCGCCTCTGTGTAAAATATTGATGCACTTAGGTATAATGAACTTTTTGAGTTCAATTGAATTTCATCTGCTGAAAGCGACGTAAATAGCACTCTTCAAAAACGAACGTGGAATTGGCGCGAAAAAACGAACGATTTCTAGTTTCGAAAGTGGAATTTGAATTTTAAATTTTCAGCGGAATAAAAACTTTACCTGTTGATCCAGTTTTCTGTAGTTGATTTCATGTTATCAAAAAACGGCCAATCATAAATTATTTTCGAAATTCAAAGAGCTTAAAAGGGCATGTATTTTTTTTTCTTTGAAAGTCGAAAGTTGAGATTTTTCAAGAGAGTCCGTGTTTTTTATGTTTACTTGCATTCATTATTTTTTGCAATCTTCGATTGGCTATGTTCTTTGTTGAGTTCTTCGACAGTTTTCTTTCTGACTGTTTGTGCTTTTCCAAGTGCTTTCTGCTCTGAACGTGATATGTATATTACAAATAATTATTGTTTTCATGTCATTAAAACTCGCAATTCGAGAGCTCATTTTGCGTTAATTTTAGCAAAACCAATTGAACTTGAAAAAACTCAAAGTCAAACCGGGAAAAACAAATTTGAGCGTGCTTAGATTTTAATAGCTTCCTGGATAAGACAAACGACCTCTGTTCCAAGTTTATTTATACTTAATCAATGAAAATTTTTATAGCTTAGTAACAATTCCTTAAAGAGGTAATAGCTCGATGAAGAAGTGGAATTTTTTAAATTTGGTTTCTTTAAAGAATGAAATCAAAAACAGCACGAGGCACTTGGAACAGCACTAACAATCGGAATGAAAACGGTCAGAAAACTCAACAACAAAAAAAAACTCAAAATGATCATTAACTTTGAAGCAATTCACAAAAATATAAAACTTAAAGGCTATTTGATTGTTTAAAGATTTTAATGATTCAAAGTTAAATATCGGCAAAAAGAAATTCTTTTTTGAAAGTTTTTTTAAGTTCACTGATACCTTTCCAGCTTGCTGCTTACCATGTCTTTGTTTGATGCTTAGCTCTTTTTTGACAAAAATTCTTCCTCATGCTTTTTTCATATTGTGGGCTGCCTAGTTTTGTTTAAGTGTTCTTCAATATTAAAAAGAAGATGTCATGAGCTCCATAGACAGTTATCATTAAAACAAGCCAAGCGTATCATTAAAACAAGACAAGAAATTTTTTTCTTCGTAATTTTACTTTGGTGACACTTTTGGTATATTTCATGTTAATCATTATTAAGCTAATTTAAGCGTAAACAATTAAATGAATTATGTTGCTGCTTTTTTGGTTAGTGTTAGGTCCTGTTGTTTGAAAAAAGTTTAATTATAAAAATATGGGATATGTATTTTTTGTTTTTTATGACGCTTTGGAAAATACAGAATATTCAATTTTTCTCAAAAACTACAGCACCTTTCTTCGGAAAAAATGTACTAATAGAAAAAATGGCTGCTCTTCTATGTGCCTGCGTTTTTTGCTAGTCTTTTTTCATTTTACCTCACGTTCTACGGCCTTCGAAGGTTTCAGTAGGGGGTTTTTGGGCCTATTTGTTTTGAAATTCTGCATTTTCTCAAGTATTGCAGTAATCAGAGATGAAGGTTTAAATCAAATGAACAGTTTATGGGGAACTCCCCTTCTCAAGCGGTTATTCCCTAACTTCGGTAGAACAAAATTATGGCCTCAAACAAGTCCATATTTTGACATTTTGTTTAATTCTTGAAATTGTTTGGCTTTTCTCAAAGTACCCTGCCTAATCGGAGATTAAAGATTCAACCGAAAAAATCTGCTATGCAAACTTTACCTAAGCAAGCGGCTATGCGCTGCGTTCCAAAAAATTATTGCTTAAAAATTGTCCAAATTTTGCCCGGTTTTTGGAAAGTTAATCTTTTTTTTCAAATTAATCTGCTAGTTCTGAGATTGATAGTGACTGCAACTAACATGATGCTTAGATTCTCCCTGCGCAATCTGTTCACTCTATTTTTTTGCAGAAAAGTTGATGTGGACTTCAAAAAAATTCCTTTTAAAATTCTAACCGTTTCTCTCAAACTACCGCCACTCGCAAACTACTAGCTAAATCTGATAATAAGGGTTCAATCTGAAAAATCTGGATGAGGAAAGCAGAGTTTATTCCCATGCTTAAGTAGAGAAAAATTGATGGATTCAAGTAAAGTCAAATTTTGAATTTTTGATGATTTTCAGTAATCTTTTTCACTTTTTTCTCGGAAAGTACGCTGCCGAATCTGAGATAAGGACTTAAAATAATTTTCTCTTCAAACTGAATCATTCCTTACCTAAGCAGAGAAACAAGGGTTTACCTTAAAAATCATTTTTTGAATTTTTGAAAATTACGCATTTTCGTATCAGTACAATATATGAGTAAAAACATTAGAACTGGGAGATCCAGCATTAGCTGGGCCACTAATTTTTTTTCAAGCGACGTGGCGCAAATTCGAGGACGTGAGAATTCTAACTAACAGCTTGGATAATCAAATCCGGAACATTTAAATGTTTTTTGGTCGAGTTGTTGCTGCATAACTTTGACAGTTTGATAGAAAAAATAGCTCCTTATTGATGACTTGTGTTAGTAAAACTACAAGCGGTCTTGGAGAAGAAATAAGAACGTGATCTACAATTCTCAACAAAAATATTCTCAAGGTGTTTAAAGTTTTTTCCTTATTTAACTTTGTTTTACCGGTTTAGAGCGCTTTTTGCATTTTACTTGTTTGTGTTAGTGAAGCACAGCTTCACCTCTGTGTGAATACGTTATCTGCATCTGTTGTCAGATTTTTAATAAAGCAGAAAACAAATAGAAAAGCAGGGCTAACTTGTTTACTCCATCCGTACATGGCCGTTATATTCACTTTTTTCCATTGTCTCCTTCTCTAAGTTCTGGGGTAGAGTCTCGGCTGGACCTTGTTTTTTTTGCAATTGTATGCAATCGATTTTTTCGGTAAAAATTGAATTGTTGTACTTTCGTTTGCCTGCTTAAATTTTGCCGACTAAGGTGCAACATCACAGCTTTTTCTTGTTCTGTAAGCAACTTTCTTTGCAGATGCAAGTGCCAGTGTTGTTCATTGAAACTTGAAAAAAAAATTTATGAAATCGTTTTTTTTTTCGGCTCAACTTGTGTCTGCTCAAAGATTGTTGGCTTTGTTTCCTCTTCGTTAGTTTTGTTCCGTTGCTGAATTAATATTGAATTATCTGGCATGTGTGCCCAGTTTGAATTTTTATCGAATTAAACGAAACTTTAAATGTTGGTACCTAGTTTTTTTTAAAACCCTTTTTGACTTTTTTCTCTTTTTAACTTTATGTTTTTTATGTTTGTTGTATCGCAAGTGGCGCAAGCTCTGCTTTGCTTCTGTGTTAAATATTGTGGTCAGTGACATATTTGTATTTATATCAATTAGGTAAGCAAAAAGAATTTTTTCCACATTGTTTTTTATTTAGATTTAAATGATAATTGAATGGTCGGATCAAGACGGCACATCTAGACATTGATATAAAATATTTTGCAAGTTAATTTTTTTTGTTTTTTACTTTTATGGCCTAATGTTCTGTCGGATAGTTTGTCATGCTTCGCTTGTGATTTATTGCAAGAGGTTCGAAGCTTCGCGTCGCCTCTGTATTACATATCTAAATTTTGTGTATTGAATTTGTTTTTTACTTTTATGGCCTAATGTTCTGTCGGATAGTTTGGCATGCTTCGCTTGTGATTTATTGCAAGAGGTTCGAAGCTTCGCGTCACCTCTGTATTACAGATCTAAGTTTTGTGTATTGAATTTGTTTTTTTACTTTTATGGCCTAATGTTCTGTCGGATAGTTTGTCATGCTTCGCTTGTGATTTATTGCAAGAGGTTCGAAGCTTTGCGTCGCCTCTGTATTACAGATCTAAATTTTGTGTACTGAATTTGAAAAAACTGGATGTTTCTGTTTAATCCAAATTTCTTCATCAATGTCACTGGTCTGTAGATAAAAAACACCTTAAGAACCGCATCAGAATCTTTAATACCTACACATTTGGCATTTGAAGCGTTTGCTTTGACGATACAGCCTAGAATAGCAAAGATCTGAAAGTTACTTTTAGACAAAACAGTTGACAAATTGCCTTCTTCAATAAAAAAATAGAGAAATCAGAACTAGA